CCCCAACCCAAATACTTCTGTTTCTTCTTCTTCCTGTTCTGCTGAGGAGGAGGGACTCCATGCTTTGAGACAAGTTTGGTACCTTCAGGTAGGATCTAAAATTGGCCACAGCTAAACACTGAGCTGCTAATTAAGCTACTTAACTTCAGTCCCTCCCTCCATGCAACACGGCCACCTGCTCGTGGCACCAAGGACTCCTGGGGATGGCCAGGGAGGGGACAGGCCCAGTTCTGCTCTGCTCAGGGCTTGGTTGGTGCCTCCAGAGGCTTCACCTGCAGCTCAGCCAGGCCTCGGGGGCTGGGCTGGGCTGGGCTCAGGGCTCTGCTCGTCCCACCGGGCTGGGAAAGGCTCTGGCTGGTGGTGGGGCTCTCAGCTTTGGGGAGCAGGGTGTCCCCAAGGAGATGCCCTGGGCTCTGCACAGAGTGCTGACTGTGACAAAGCTGGGACAGAACTGCCCCACAGCCCTTCTGCAGCAGAGCCAGGGGAAACAAAACCTTTCTGGCTGCAGCAAATTCCATCTGCAGCTTAACCTGCACGTGTGTGGAATCTGTGTGAGAGCTGCTGGGCAGAGCTGGGAGCTCTCTGCTCTTTGGGAATTAAAGACCTCAGGGCTTCCCTCGGAGCCTCTGCAGGTGAGGAACAGAGCCACTCACACCAAAATAACCTGTGAGCACAGTGGGTAGCAGCAGGAGCTGCTAGGCCAGCTGGCAAAGGCCTTGGTTTGTATTTACCTGTGGCTCAATCTTAGAGACAGGGCTACGGAATTTTTCAACACCTCAGTGAGGAAGGAGAGAATTTCACTGGCTCAGTAAGCAAAACATTCAGTTGGGAGAGCAGAAGACTGACTGGCTGTTAATAAATACCACGAGACATCCTAAAAGTTTTCTATGGAAAAGAGAAACATCATCTGTTCATCCAAATGCAACACGGGGACAGAATGAGGTAAGGAAAGCTAGAAAGAGTCCTTTGTACACTCCCACTTCACACTGCATGGCAACAACAACAAGAAGGAGATGCCAACAGGCTCCCTGCCATGCTCAGCAGGGAATTCTTCACACAGGTGAGCTCCAGAGCATCCCTGGAGGCTGAGCCTGCAGCACCACCAGCCTCCCTGCGAGCCCTCACTTTTGGCATCAGTTTGAGCCCCAGGCAGGAGGAGGGGGCACTGCCTGTGCCCTGACCCATCAGTGCTGCAGGGAACAGGGATTTGTGTGGCTCAGCATGAAGCCAGAGCTCAGCTCACGCCGGGCTCGCCGAACTCGGCTCTTTGGTCCTCTTTGCACACAGCTGTCAGCGAGGAGGAACAGCCCGTGCTCACACACTGAACTCGTCCCCAGGGGCGTGTGCCCCCTGCTCTGAGCAGTGCTGGGGAGAAAAGGGGCCTGAAATGGTTCCCCTGTGGGGCTGTTCCACGAGAGATCCGCTCTGAGAGCAGAGGATGGGGCAATGCACATCCCTGGGCCAGGGGAGCCCAGCCTGCAAAGCCCTGCAGGGGTTCTTGAGGAGGAGGAGGAGGAGGAGGAACTGTCTCCCACCTGTGAGCATTGCACATGCCTTGCTTTGTCCTCAATTCTCCTCCTCCAGTCAAGCAGGGAGAGCTAGAGGTGATGGTTAGGCACAGCTGTGCCAGGGCAGTGCCTCACACACTGCATTTACTGCACTAAAAGGCAGCATTTACTGCACTAAAATGCAGCATTTACTGCACTAAAATGCAGCATTTACTGCACTAAAATGCAGCATTTACTGCACTAAAATGCAGCAGTTACTGCACTAAAATGCAGCATTTGCTGCTTTGCTCTTAGACACTGGCAGCACGACGTGTCCAGAAGGAACAGAATGACAGGGCAATGAACACTGGCTTTGAGAAGCTTTTCCAGGCACGCAGAATTTCATTCCCATGGTGGGGCCCAGCCTCGAGCTGAGGTGAGAGGTTCCCATGGAGCAGAAGTGCCAGGGGCTTTGGGAACGCCCGTGCCAGGGGAGCTGGGGCTGGCAGGGCACTGGGCACCCTCCCCAAGCACTGCATTTGCTAAAGCCAATTTGCAGGGGCAGCAAATCACCTGGAATATTCACCAGTACCATTTTACACCTTGTGGCATGGTTTTACAGTGCCTGTGTAAAGCTAATTCAAATCCCAGCGAGATGGGAGGAAATTCACCTTTCCACATGAGGAAATAGGTAATAACTGCCCTTTGATGGCTCTGAAAAAATCAGGTTTTGACTCCTGAAGGTGTTATTTTCTGCACCATTTTTGATTCTCTTCAAGCTGGTTACAGGAACATTACCAAGGTAATTTCTTTATTACCAAGGTAATTTTCCAAGGTTATTTCTGGCGTGTTTATGGAGCCTTTTTATCCCCTTCAGGTGTGTCACAGAGCTGGGTTATCCAGGTGTGTCACACCCAGGGTTACAGAGCTGGGTCCCTCAGGTGTGTCACACTCAGGTGTGCCATACCCAGGTGTGTCACACTCAGCTGTGTCACACCCAGTTGTGCTCCAGAGGAAATCCTCAGCACAGGAAAAGCTCCCCTTGTTTGAACAGCCCCAGGCAGCAGCAGCTCAGAGCCAGCCCTGGCACCTCCCTGCCCTCAGCCCTGCCAGCCTGGCTCCCACTGGCCCTGCTGGGGTCCCGTGGCCACCGTGGCTGGGGGATTGTCACTTGCTCTGGGTGTGGCACGGATAAAACCCTTCTGGAGCAGCATCACCTCCCTGGCAGCCTCGCCAGGTGCCCAGGAGCAGAGTTGGGGCAGCTCAGCTGGGTTCCCTCCTGCAGCCGGGCCAGGAATTCACCCCAGAGGTTTGCCTGCAGTTTCCTTCACTGGTAAAATTCCTGTTTCAGCTGTGTGTTCTGCTGCACCTGAGAGCACCACAGGGCACTGAGAATCCTTCAGAGCTTCCCCACAGTGACTGGAACAGACAGTGCCAGCAGCTCAGAGTAACCCCTTAGCTAAAGACTCAGCAATCTTCAAGGAAAACCATTTAGCATCTTTCATGGAAGTCTATTGATCAGAAAAACCCCAGAGCTATGGTTGTAGCACGTGGAATCGATTGGACAATCACTAATGTAATGGAATTATGGTGATCTTATACACAAACAACGATTTACCAAAATAAGATTTACCTAGGGGGCTTTAAAATCGAGTTATTTTGGTACCAAAAAAAAAGTCTTTCATTTAATTCCCCTTTGCCCCTATGATTCAGATGATCTGTCACTCTACAGTTACGGACTTGGCCAGATTTCTTGGAAAATCAACCTGCAGAGAGGGAGGAGAAAGAACAGGCTCGTGAGTATTTACACACTTGGTTTGTTTGTGTATAACTTTGTAACCTGTGGAACGTCTGTTCTGCCTTCCAACTGAGAACAATCCAACACATCCTCACCTTCACAGCGCAGAAAAAAAAAACTCCACAGCCCTGATTGTTACAACTCCTGGCTCAGAACTAAGCAGAGCTTTAGCCTGGGCTGTTCCAGTGCCCAGGTGGTCACTGAGAACAGGCAGTGCCTGTATTAAAATCAACCAGCCAGCACCAAACTGCTTGCCAAACACCCTCCTGAGCACTTCACCTTCCCTTCAGCTCCCTAGCAGCCCTCCAGAGCCTGGCTGCTCCTTCCACAGCACAGCCACACGTCCCAGCTGGGCTCCTCCAGCTCTCAGCGGCCCCGGGCTCTGCAGCAGCTCAAGCAGTGGCACAGAGAAGCCCCAGGCCTGCAGCAGCCCCCAGCAGCCCCAGGGCAGGGGATGCTCTACTCACATCGTAGCCCCTGAGCACGGCCAGGTGGAAGGCCAGCAGCTGGAGGGGGATCACGCTCAGGATGCCCTGCAGGCAGTCCACGGAGTGGGGAACTTTGATGGTTCTTTTGTTGTTCTTAATGGTCTCGATGTCCTCCTTGTCACAGATCACCACAGGCCGGCCCTGCAGCAGAGGGGAAGGCTGAAGGAAAGCACTTCTGGAAGGTTCTTCCCTCCTTCTGTGCAGAGTGCCAGGGGCAAAATCTATTCCTTAATTTAGAGCTAAACAGCTTCCCATCCCCTGGGGCCATTTAAGGGTTAAACAGAGCATGCCAGGGTCTGCAATTGCTGCAAGAGCTGCTGGTGAAACCCCCCAGGACTCGGTGAGACCCAGGGGAGCAGTCTGGGTGTCTGGGAAGGGCTCTCCTGCCCCAGCAGCAGCAGCAGCTCTGTGCACGCAGAGCTGCCAGCCCTGTGGAGTAGGTGAGATAAAGGATCCTTCATCTCACCTGCAATGACCTGCTGCAGGGGTTCCTTCATCTCACCTGCAATGACCTGCTACAGGGGTTCCTTCATCTCACCTGCAATGACCTGCTGCAGGGGTTCCTTTATCTCACCTGCAATGACCTGCTGCAGGGGTTCCTTCATCTCACCTGCAATGACCTGCTGCAGGGCGTTCTGGCACATTTTTCCTTTATCTCACCTGGATAAAGGTCCCTTTTTCTCACCTGCCTGCAATGACCTGCTGCAGGGTGTTTTGGCACGTTTTTCTTTATCTCTTTACCTGGATAAAAGTCCCTTTATCTCACCTGCCTGCAATGACCTGCTGCAGGGTGTTTTGGCACGTTTTTCTTTATCTCTTTACCTGGATAAAGGTCCCTTTATCTCACCTGCCGGGCGATGACCTGCTGCAGGGCATTCTGGCACTTGGCATAGGTGTGGTCTCTCATGATGATCATGATCACGGGCATGAGCTTGTCCACCAGGGCCAGGGGGCCGTGCTTCAGCTCCCCGGCCAGGATCCCCTCTGAGTGCATGTAGGTGATCTCCTTAATTTTCTAGAGGGGGGGGAAATGAATTCATCACACTCTGAGCAACCTCCTGGTGGCTTTTTAAGCGTCTCTGTGCCAGCTGCTGCAGTCTGAGCCTGTGAAGGCAGCTCCAGGCACTCAAACCTTACCAGGGCTCCCTCCAGACACGTGGCGTAGTGGTAGCCCCGTCCCATGATGAGGACAGACTTCTGGTGGTACAGCTCGGTGGCCAGCTTCTGGATCTCATCGTCCATGCTCAGCACTTCTTTAATCAAGTCTAGGGGCAGGAAAACCCAGACTGAGTGTGCTCCCACAGCCCACCCAGCCCTATGGCCAGCAGCACCTGCAGGAGCCCTGGGCTCAGCTGTACTGGCCCGCTTTGCTGGCCTGGAGACCCCTGAGAGAGCGTGGCTACAGGGACCTGTGACAGCTCTGCCACCCTCCTGCAGGGCCAGCCCTGCTGAGCTCAGCCCCTCGCTGCAGATCCAGCCCAGCTGGGCTCCCCCTGCCCAGTCCCAGCCCAGCTGGGCTCCCTGTGCCCAGTCCCAGCCCTGCTGGGCTCCCCCTGCCCAGTCCCAGCCCAGCTGGGCTCCCCGTGCCCAGTCCCAGCTCTGCTGAGCCCCTCCTGCCCAGTCCCAGCCCAGCTGGGCTCTCTCTGCCCAGTCCCAGCCCAGCTGGGCTCTCTCTGCCCAGTCCCAGCCCAGCTGGGCTCCCTGTGCCCAGTCCCAGCCCAGCTGGGCTCCCCCTGCCCAGTCCCAGCCCTGCTGGGCTCCCCTTGCCCAGGATCAGCCCTGCTGAGCCCCTCCTGCCCAGTCCCAGCCCAGCTGGGCTCCCCTTGCCCAGGATCAGCCCTGCTGAGCCCCTCCTGCCCAGTCCCAGCCCAGCTGGGCTCTCTCTGCCCAGTCCCAGCCCTGCTGGGCTCCCCTTGCCCAGGATCAGCCCAGCTGGGCTCCCTGTGCCCAGTCCCAGCCCAGCTGGGCTCTCTCTGCCCAGTCCCAGCCCAGCTGGGCTCCCCTTGCCCAGGATCAGCCCTGCTGGGCTCTGCTGAGCTCCCCCAGCCCAGCTGGGCTCCCCCTGCCCCAGGTCTTACCTGGCAGCCCCTTGAGCCCCCTCATGATCTCCTTGCGCCGCTCCTGCATGGAGATCCTGTCGTCACACATCATCAGGGCAAACATCACCAGGGACACGAACTGGCTGGTGTAGGCCTGGGGACACAGGGAGTGGCACAGGGAATGTCACTGGGGCACAGGAATGTCACTGGGGACACAGGGAATGTCACTGGGGACACAGGGAATGTCACTGAGACACAGGGAGTGTCACTGGGGGCACAGGGAGTGTCACTGGGGGCACAGGAATGTCACTGGGGACACAGGGAATGTCACTGGGGGAACCCACCTCCCATATTTGAGAACAGACTCTCCCCTGCCCTTGGGGACAATCCCTGCACAGGCAGGTGATGGGAGGGGTCACACCAGGGCAGGAATGGTCCCAGGGACCCCAGAGGGACCCCAGAGGGACCCCAGAGGGACCCCAGAGGGACCCCAGAGGGACCCCAGAGCAGCAGCTGCAGTTTGGCCTCGAGCTCCTTCCAAGGCAGAAGGGCTCGGGGCCAGGCAGGCAGGGATGCTGCAGGGGCTGGAGCAAGGTGTGGGGTTTTCTGTCCCTCCCTAGGCAAGGAGCAGACAAATTCCACCTGGAGGCTGGAACGGCTCTGGAGGAACACAGAAAATCTGTTTTTGCAGTTGTGCTGCCTGCTGGAGCCTGCTGGCAGTGCGAGCTGCTCTGCTCTGTGCAGCCCTGCACAAGTCCACAGCACCCAGCAGCCACATGAACGTGCTTGGGCTCTTCAGAATATTCTCAAAAAAAAGTTCTGGGCGAGCTCAGGGCACAAACTTTCCAAGTTCTTATTTCCTATATGCAGAGCTTTGGTAACTCCCCACATCATCAGAGAAAAAAAATGGCATTTATCTCCAAACTGTAAATGTTGGCCCTGTGAAAACAACAGGGACAAACAGCTCGTTCAAGAGTTTCTTGTAAGAGACTCATGAATTTTCCATGATCAAATTCCCCAATGAACTATTAAACTCAAATGTGGTTTTTGGCTGAATTTATGTAACAGATTGACATCATCTCGCCTCTAAATAGAACTAAACCAAAGCAGATTTTTCACCATGCAGAAGCACTTCACCAAAATGAAAGGCAGCAAAGTAAATTATCTTACCCTGGATCTCACATGGCCAGAATAATCCTGTTATCTGGACACAAACTGTAGGATTCTGTGGAAGACCTTTCCCCCATTTGTTAAAAGGATCGTTTTAATATCCCATTTTCTTTGGTAAAGCAGAGCCAGTGAGGGAGTTACAAGCAGACAAAGTTTCCTTTATCTTATCCACTAATTTCCTTTTTCATCTCTGACCTTAAATTAAAGTGAGCCTGCACCTTGAGACAGACAATGGCAAAGAGAATTCTGTCCCCTCAGGGAATCATTCCCTCCGAGACCCGTTCATTGCAATGTTTAATGCAGCTTCCTTAGATTATTTCATTTAGAACAGGGACCCAAAAAAGCCCTCTGCATGCTCCAGGACAGAACACGCAGGGTGCTGCTGGTCTGTGACTGCACAGCCTGCAGCAGTGATGCCCCAAGAGTTCGATTTTATATTTGATTTTTAGATTTTTTTTTTTTAATATATTTTTTTCTATTTTTCAGATTCAGCGTGGAACTCTGAGCTTTGTATTAGGAGATTGTGAGCTCTGAAACTCCAGGCCCAAAAAGTAAAAACAGGAGTGAATTGAAGAGAGGAAAACAAGGAGGATGGGATTGCATAAACTAAAGCTGGAATTGGACAATTAACCCCAATATGCAAATGGAGCAGAACTGATCAAAGTGACAGACCCTGTGACAAATTGTGCATTTTGGGGCTCATTTTGTGACCATTTTGGGGCTCATTTTGTGACCATTTTGGTTCACCTTGGGTGCAGCCCTGGCTCTGGTGCTGCCCAAGGTGGATCCATTGAGGAGATGCTGTGAATAAATCCCTGCTTTATTCTGTAGCTCTGTAATAGCTCAGTTTTCTCAAGGCATCGGCAGCAGGGGTAAGGAGGGGGCCCTGTGACAGGCAGGCCTTTCATAAGGGGTTCCAGAGGAAAAAATTAAATTAAAATAAAATAAAATATAAAAAAATGAAAACTAAAATTTAAGAAATAAAAATATAAAGATAAAAACTAAATAAAGTAAAAATTAAAATAAAATAAAAATTGAAAAATTTAAAGAAAGAAAATAAATAAAAATAAAAATAAACCAAACCCAAATAAAATAAAATAAATTCTAAAATTAAAATAAAAACTACAAATTAAATAAAAATTAAAGTAAAAATTAAAATAAAATAAAAATTAAAAAATAAAAATAAGATAAAAACAAAATTTAAAAAATAAAATAAGATAAAAATAAAAAATTAAAAATAAAGAAAAAGAAATTAAATATAATTAATATTATAATAAATTACATATAATTAATATATTATTATAATAAATTAAAAGTAAAATTAAAAGTAAAATTAAAAATAAAATTAAAAATAAAATTTAAATAAAATTAAATAAATTCTAAAATTAAAATAAAAAATAAAAATAAAATAAAAATTAAAGTAAAAATTAAAATAAAAATTAAAAAATAAAAATGAGATAAATTAAAACAAAAATAAAACTAAATTTTAAAAAATAAAATAAGAAAGATGAAGATAAAAATTAAAAAAAAATACATAAAATCAAAAATAAAATTAAAAATAAAATTAAAAATAAAAGAAACCAAAGCAAGCAGCCGAGCGAGCGCGGCCGCGGCTCACCTTGGTGCTGGCCACGCCGATCTCGGGGCCCGCGTTGATGTGCACGCCGCAGTCGGTCTCGCGGGAGATGGAGCTGCCCACGGTGTTGGTGATGCCCACGGTCAGGGCTCCCCTCTCCTTGCAGTAGCGAAGGCACATCAGCGTGTCGGC